ACTCAGTCTTGGGTTTGGATTGGACCCTGTCCAGTCCAAAATCAATTTGGATGGACCAATAAGACATATTGGATTGGATTAGTTCGGTTCAAAATATTTATTAGATTGAATTGGACCTGGTCCGTCTATAACAAATTTATATTGGATTGGGTTGGATTAAGCCAATATCTGGTCTATTGATATATGATAAGAATGTATGTGTCAATGGACTGGGTTTGGGTTGAAATCAATATAAATCAAAATGAATTTAAACAGATTTGACGGTCCAGACATTGAATTATATTGGACCGGTCCAAATTGGTCCAAAACATTCATTAGATTGGATTGGACCTGATCCATTTATAATGAACTCACATTGAACTGGATCGAATTGGACCAAATACAATCCAATTGACACCCCTAGGTTCTCCCACCAGTTAAAGGAGAAGTTTATCTACATATGATGGCTGCTCCATATGTTTGCCGGGACTGATAGACTTGGGAAGCCCTTATGGCAGGAACAAGGGCATTGCGATGGAAATGCTTAGTATTCAGCATGTGGAGGTGGAAGGAGCTTCTCGAGCAATAACAAGTTGGCTGAGAGAGGTAGTGAAGCCCCATGGAGGTTCAAATATTTCTTGAGAGAATCTGGAGATCTGTTCTCTAGTGTGAATATCTTTGAGTTATATCCAAAAAAGGATTATCTGTTGGTTTTATTATCAAATATTTGTGAGATTTGTGGTTGTAAATTAAGCAAGAGCAAATTTATTATTGTGTTAAGAAAGTGTTCTTGTGAGAAATACACTTGTGTATGGACCGTATGGTTAGGAGAGCATCCTTAAAACCTATTCATTTGTTGTAAAGGCCGGAATAGCACCCACACCCATGAAGCCTCTCCACTAGAACTCAATTATTCAAATACTATTTTGGTTTTATAATTATTCTATCAATCATTCAAATAATATTCTAAATGCTCTAACTTGATAAATGAAATAAGAAATTCAGTTCCGATGTTCATCTGTACACTTTCAATGCCAAAATCCCTGAGGCTCATCTTCATCTTTTGATACAAAAAAAAAAAGTAATTCAATACAAAAAGAGTAATTTATAATACAGTTTACACATGAGGATCATTTCGATACCAAACAACAGCAGAATGGACCAGACAAATAGGAAATTAATTCTTGAACGAAAAATAACAGGAAGCCAAACACAGATGTAAACAAATCGTTTGTACTGACCTCTTGATCGGAGATGAAGAATGGACCAGACAATGCTCTGTAAACCCCTTTCGAAAAATAGAACTGGGAACCTAAAAACTAAAAAGACTACAATACCTGCTCAGGCGACGACCTCCCCTAGCGCCGATTGCAGCGGTTGAGTGGTGAGAGGGGAAATACTTCAACAGCAAAGAAGAAAGATGCGCAGTATAGGTAAAACCCTACTTACCATTGCATTTGAAATTCCAATGGGCCAAGAAGCACCAAAACATTCTCACCATCGACAGCTCATGTGACAGCTAGGATACACATTAGTGCCACATCATCGAGCCATTGGGGGCAACGGTTCACCAATGCATAATCAGAAGGAATGTGATTTATGATGCATGCCCGTTTTTTATCATTTTTTTGAAAAATCGCCTGAACCAAACAGTCACATAGGTGATGAAAAGTTGAATCGTCTACGTGGCTCCGATGTGACACCACTTTTTAGAAAAACGCCCACAATACCAAACATCCCCTATGTGTATCAACAAAAAGAAAAAAGTTTTCGAGTGGGCAGAGTCAACTCAGATCGACATTGTGTCGTATGCCCCTACGGCCCAACCCAACTCCAGATTCTACATAGGTTGAGCTTAGCCTTAGAGTTTTTAGGCAATTGACTGGGTCTTGGGCCTGCTTAAGTGTAGACCATGGGTTTAGCTCTAATTATGCTTGGACATGCAAAATCAGGTTTGACCTCAGGTGGGCCGGGCCTGGCCTAGTTGTTTGGCAATTTTTTTTAGAAAGATCTTCCAACAGCCTAGACGGCCAAAAGATATATTGAGCTTTTATGGTCTTGTCTTTAAAGAAAATGACTATTTGGTAAGCAACTCAGTCTACCAAGATTTTAAAGACGCTTTTAGAGGCTATCTATCACACTGACCAAAAAGCTTCATTTGAAGCTTCCCGAAATTCGGCTTTTCTCAGTCTTTTCGGGTCTTTCCATGCACACATCTCATCTTTCTAGCTTTTGGTTATCAAACTGGGAAAAAAAACTAATTTTTGGTCTTTCAAGCTTGTCGAAGCCTAAAGCACCATGCAAAAAGACTAGACAAACACCACCTAAATATTAGGGCCTGCGTTGGCTTTAAACCTGACCTGGCTTGCCCATGTTGTGAGATTTATTAGGGAAGTAGAAGCAGAACTGAAAACTATATCTTACGTTATTATGTAATTATGCAGAATTAAAGAATTCAATTTACTCGTCTATATATATACATATATATATATATATATAATAAAAAGAGGAAAGAGGGGAGGTAAAAGTTCCTCTCACCATAGAGCTTACACATGCCTCCTCATCCTCTCATTTTTCACACATGTGCATATTTGCTTTTAAATTAAATCATTAAAATACAAGTCAAAATTTAAACCCTCATAAATCTTCATTGTTTCTCGTAAAATCCATATTTACTCTCTAATAAAATCATTCTTAAATCTCTCTCTCTCTCCTCTTAATAGTCAATGTTTGTAACATTTCCCCTCTCCATTAAATCATTTTTTCCTCTTAAATCTCTCTTAATGTCTCTCTTTAATAAAATAAGCGTGTAAATTAAATGGATTGGGTGAGGCTAGGAGGCAACTAGCCCAACTCTAAATTCGAACCCTAACTTGAACCCAAACAATTCCCACCTCTTACATGGAATGAGCCAATCTTCTTATTCTTTAAAAGTCTAAAGAAACCATTGTTCCTTTTCATGGGTTATCAAGTTTTTCTCTTTTTTTTATTAATTTAATGTAAATTTTTTTCATGGATTACTTTGCTTCAATAATAAAATGCAATGAAAACACTTAATGTGAGCTTTTGGTTTTCTTCATTAGTTTAGTTTTAAAATTGTTTTCAAAATTTAGCTATTGATCTCATGGTAAGCACATTTTTTTCAAGCTTTATAAGGCCATACAATGGGGGATAGCCCATCCCACAACCTTGATGTTGCAGGAGTTGATCCCAAGTCTTCACTACACCTAAGTCCTAACCAAAGAACTCTATATCTTCGCTACATCTAACTAAACAGCCTACCAATTGAGCCACCATTAATTACTTATCATGCTTAGCTGTTGATTTCTGTACTTATCCTCATAATATATAAGTTATATAAAAAGAAATAAAATTAAATCTCAATAATAAAAAAGAAAAGGAAAATTATTTTTATACTATTTTATATACAACATAATAGAAATATATAAAATATTACTTTATTTTTTTAAATACATTTTTGAATAGCAGTAATCCATGCATTGCACGGGGTCACCACTAGTCCGCTACTATTCCACCCGGAATTCCGTTTGTAAGATTCTATTTTAAGGGAGAAAAACTTGTATCATGAATAGAAATGCAAAAGGATCAGATTGGATTCGAATCAGGATATATCCAAATTCAATATAACAGTATAAACATCCAATCCAAATATCCAATTGGATCACACAAACATATTTGAATTCAATTCCATTAATAATGTAGGATATTCAAATATGATCCGATCCAATTTAATTTATTAAAAAATTTTATGAAAAAAAGCGGTTTTTATTGCAGTCCAAAAATCCCAAAAAAAAAAATTATTACGTATCAGATCGGATCTCATCTTTTTGAATCGGACAGGGGTGAATTAAAATCCGAAAATGCGATAGGAATATATCCGAATCCGAAAAAATACGATCGGATTTCGGATCCATTTGCACCCTCCATGAGTCTGTTGAAGCAGCTATGGACATTGTTGAATTTTATCATACGTCGATGCTTAATGAATAATCCAACGGTGGCTCACGGAATGAAGGACCCGGATTGATGAATCATTTAACAGGTGTAGTGCAGTCTAATACGGACATTCTACACAGTTCACAAACCACTAATAATCAGTAATTTCCTGAAACAATTAGGCCATTTTACTTGTTAGACACCACCACCGCCACCGAAAAAAACAAAAAGTATGTTGAAAGCCGAAAACAACAGCTGCAAGTTTTGATGTTTTCTTTTTCTTTTTTGAAAAGAAAATTGGGAAAAAAAAAAGCATTCCATAGGCATAGACCATCTTCGTTGAATGGAACTGTATTTTCTTTTCTCTGCTCTGCTGTAAGCATCGACCATGAGCCCTCCATATATCTTGAATTGATGTCTTTCGCACAGTTGAGCTGAGGTTCAGAGGTTGCCCAACTGCCCAGGCTTTAACTTTTGAAATGCTTAAAAGCTTTAATATTCAAAGAAGCGAGATTGAACAGAAAAGGAGTTCAAACTTCTACAGTTGATCAGTTCTTACTGTAGCACCAAGAAAAAGCTCCTTACGTGTTTTCCCACTTTTTCACTACTGGCTGCATTTCTATTTCTTACTGAAGAGATATTGAATCACATATGAATTCACCTTCTTCTTTATCTATTCGGTCCCTTTCATGTGATGTTGATTTTTCTACATGGCCTTGATTTGTTTGATTATTAAGCTTGTCAATACAACAGAAATTAGCGGAAATAGCACCACCACGAGAAGAATTTGAGACATGGGTTTCATTAATTATTGAGTTCGACCTCTTCCTCTTGAGGTAATTAAAAAAAATTAGAAGAAAAACCTCCTTAGATCACAGCTGAAAACAGTTGGGAGTTGGGACAGAACCAGACCGATCTTTGTACATGAAATCTGACTGATCAGATCATGGATCCAAGACGAGGAAGAAAGGAGGCTCGACAGATGAAAAGAAAAAGGAAAATCAGGGGAAGAAACAATTACCTCTGAATTCACATCTTTGTTCTGCAATTTTTGGAGACAAGGATACCGGTGGGTGGACCAGTCATCTCAACCTGGCATCTGCCATGCAACCAGTAAGAAAAATGACTCAAGCCCATACTAACTTTTATTCTAAATGTACCCCTTACATTGTACACAACCCTGTTGTTCTGCACCTGCTTTTGAAGCTCCATCGCAAGATTCGGAGGCAAATAAACCTCGCTTGACACCATGCGAACCGACTCCAACCTCGTCTCTCCCCGCCTCTGGGAGAAGGGCTGCAGAGCTTGAGTCGCAATAAGCCTGTCGAAGAAGTAGAGCTCTATGTCCAAGTATTCGAATCTTACATCGATTTTCCTATTTGGGTTGGAGAAGTTTGCAAGGAAGGCGAAGTCGCCATTAAGATACTCAGGCGAATCGACGTAGATGCTATTGAGGTTTGCGCCGACGGTGTCAAACAAAGGGTGTCTGGGCTTAATGACAAGAAATAAGATCAAGGTGGCGATTCCGGCGAGGATTAGAAGAAGACTAAAGATAAGGCACAGGACTGCGGCACACCAGATGATGGGGTTGGTCCTGCGAGGAGGCCGGAGTAGAGTGGCTGTTCTTGATTTGGTGGAGGTGAGTTCTGGAGGATGAGTTTGTTGATCCACCACGACTAGCTTTGATACTACAATCTGATTGAGAGGGGTGGGTTTGTTCTGCTTCTGCATTTTGGGTGGGGGAGGAGTGAGTGGAAGCATATTGAGACAAGTTTGCGAAGAAAAACTTCGAAGCTAAGTAATGAGAGTCGACGGAGAGGGAATAGAGAGAGAGGTAGAGTGGCGGAGATTAAAGGGTGTAAATAAACTAATAATAAAGAGAAAAAGAAACTTTTTGAGTGTTGAGTGTTGATCGAGAGAGAAGGCGAACTAATGCACTTTGTTTGGAGATTGAGAAAAGCATGTGGTAGTTCTGATCTTCCTTCTGGATTTAAATTGTGGAAAGAAAGGAAAGGTAGGCTGTTTGGTGTTTGGCCAATTGGCCCGCAGGCCCCAGCTTCTTTGCTTTTGGCGTTTAACCTTGAAACTCCAAGGAAAGGTCCTGCGCAGACTTGCTTCTTTCCTTTTGATTCCCAAACAGTCCCAACTCCCAAGACAATTATAAGACGCCACCTGTCCTTCACTTGATAAATTTACGGTTTGGTTCGATCTTCTCAAGGTTTCGTTGAGTTTCATATTTTATTAAATGGAAGTTTGTGGTTTCGATTTGGCTTATGGGACTTTATAAATGGAATCAAACCATAAACCGTAWATCAAAATTATATACAATATAATTATATAAATAAATGATGTATTATTATATATAATATATCGAAACCGAATGTATAAAATTATAAATATATAAATTTTTTTTATTTTATATTAAAATAATAAAATAAAAGTTTTAAGTTTTAATTTTTAGGAGTGCTATTTAGATTTTCTAATTAATTTAAGTCTAATATAATTAAACAATAGTCTAAAGTTTCCCAAATCGTATTTGAAACCGCATCAAACTATAATAAAACGGTTTAATCTGATTTCATTTCTATGCCAAAATAATTTGAATTGATTTAAAAATTTCTCAAACCGTATACTACTGGTTTAATCTGAAATTTCTTTAAACTACACCAAACCAATCCTAACACCCCTAACTCAAAACGACTCTCCTATAAAATAACCTTTCCGTCGCGCTCACCCGATCCCAGCTCACAGGCGTTGTCAATTGAATCTTCCACTTTAAACTTGTGTTGTTTTAATGAAATCGATATTTGAAGAAATCTTGTCGTTGCACTAAAAAAACCCGGTCAAAGTCAAATCATTAGAGACGATTTGTATTGGGTTTGAAGTTGGAAGAAGTCACGCTATAGACCAAGTAGGGGTGAGCATTCGGTTTTTTTGTTCAGAACCGAACTGAAAAACCGAAATTCTAAAAACTGATTTAACTATAGGATAAATCGAAACTGAAATATTTGAAAATTGAACAAACCGAACCAAAATTTTTTTTCGGTTATTTCGGTTAAATCTTCTACTCTTTTCAGTCAGTCTATGTTCTATCAGAAGTTAGTTATGGAGTTACTATTGGTTGTTGTAAGCTTGTAAGGCCTATAAAGTTGTAGCTGGCGGTGAGCCGGTGAAGAAGAAGAGAACTGAAGAGAACTCGAAGAAGAGATTAAGGTAGGAAGATTGGAACTAGAAGAGCGGAAAGACGGAAACTGAGTCTGCGCCCTGTGGAAGTGGAAGTTTGCCTGAGTGCAGTGCTTGGGGTTGGTGTCTGAGTGCACTGGTCTGTGGTCTCTACTCTGGAATCTGGGGTCTGTAAGAGCCGAACTGCACTGTGGAAGAAGACGAAGAGTCGAAGAGTTTTTTCCTGTTTTGAGTCAGTGAGTGTTTTCCACTTTTYGTGTCTAATACAAAATTAGTTACTACTTACTAGTTAGTCATTAGAAATTTAGATTTTAGAAACTTTGTCTTTTATGTTATTGCTTATTATGGAAATTTGGCATATAGCCAAATACGATGTTTGGTCTCGAGTCTTCGATGTATATAAGTATATTTATTAATTTATTAAATATTAATATAAAATAATAAATTATAATATAAATAATATTAACAATATATAATTATAAAACTATTTTGGTTTTTTCGATTAACCGATTTAGCAAATATGGTAACCGAAACTAAAAACCGAAATATACAAAAACTAAATAGAAAAACCAAACCCGACCAAAAAACCGAATAGGCCGAACCAATTAAGCCAAAACCAAAATTTCGGTTCAATTTTTCAGTTTTAACCGAATTATGCTCACCCCTAGAACCAAGTGAACAAATGTTGTAATATTGCCAGATAAAAGAGTGATCCGACCAACATAGATAATATGCGAGAGTGCTTAAATCACCTACCATAAGTGTACATTTCAGCCACTCAATAAATTATTTGAAACTACGTTTCCTATTAGTTAGGTACCGAAATGCATAGTTGATAATTTTAGAAATCAACTACAAAAGGAATTTACATGGATTTAATACTAGCTAAATCCAACCCCCACAATTTTTCCATATGATGGGGATGTACCCTGGTCGGGGTTTGCTCACCATGACTAGACCATGTCCTCGGCTAAGTGGGCAATGCGGAATGCTGCACACCGGAAACACTAGTCGGGGTTTTCTAATCAGGGGATGCTTTCTCAAGCTACAACTAGATCTGGATTCATCCTATCAACTAGGAGAAGACTCTGCCTTTATCACTGATTGAGGGTTCTAGTACTACAAGATCATGTCCTTTGGCCTTAAAAACACTGGTGAAACTTACCAAAAGCTAGTGTACTGCATCTTCAAAGACCATCTTGGCCAAAATGTGGAAGCCTATGTCGATGGCATATTGGTGAAAAGTTGGAAGGCCGAGCAGCACTTGATTGACCCCGATGAGGTCTTCAATCTTCTCTAATGGTACCACATGAAGCTAAATATAACCAATTGTGCCTTTGGTGTCAATTCATGGTGACTCAAAGGGAGATCAAGGAAAACCCCCCAAAAAAGAAATTTGAGTTGTCCTACATATGCCCTCTCTCTGGATTCACAAGGACATACAACATCTTATAGGTCGGGTTGCGGAACCCAACAAATTAATCTAAGTTCTCACAGACCAATGCCTTTCATTCTTCGAGGCACTCAAGAAGGTGGAAGACTTCCAATGGAAAGAAGAGAGCAAGCAAGACTTCCAACAACTAAAGCAGTTCTTGAGCTTGTTGTCTCTGTTGACAAAGCCAAACCTTGGAGATCAACTACTACTATATCTCTCAACTAGTGATGAAGTGGTTAGTTTTGTCCTGGTTAAAGAGGAGAATGGCACACAAAGGCCCATCTATTACACTAGAAAATTACTCATCGATGCAGAGACTAGATATCCAAACCTAGAAAAGGTTCTCTGTTCTCAATAACCTTGGCTTGCWAGCTTAGGCCCTACTTTCAGGCTCATAGCATCTATGTCCTCATTGATCAGCCTCTCAAGCAAGTGCTACAGAAGCCAAAGACTTTAGGGTGTTTGATAAGATGGAGCATAGAACTTAGTGTTAGACAGTTTTGTATGCCCTTAGCTTCATTCTGATTTGATGTACTTTTGACATTTAGTGTAAATAAGTAAAGTGCATGTTTGATTCATGTTGTATGGTATGATTTTGTGTAAGACCCTAAAACTGGACACTTATTGAGACTCGTGTTAGTTTCAAATGTTCACAGCCATTGGATAAGTCTGGGGAGATTTATCCTGCCAAGGCTGATACTGGTGTGCTGCCAAGTGTTGGGATGGCTTATCTCGGCCACCAGGGTAAGACCCAAGGCACATGCAGTATGGGATTACTCGAATCCTTGAACCGAACTAGATTTCCAGTATTGCCCTGGACCTTAGAGACAGATGGGCAAAACTG